GCGCCAGCGGCCGCTCCCCGCTCCCCCTCCCTCCCCTCCGTCAACTTTTCAACCCACTGCCCCACATGAGCCAGCCCAGGTCCACACAAAGACCCTACGCATCTGGGAATCATTCCGTCTTCTCAAAAATGCACTGATAATAGAAAAGGATACTTTTCCAACCATTTTCCCAAGTGGGAAAGAAAAACCCCTTTTAAAATATTCAGCAAAAAACAGCTTGGCGATGCCCAAGGTGGATCGAGAACTACACATCTGACCATCAGTGGGGTGGGAACAAAATGCCAAATCCTAAACTTTCCATCTACATGGAAGAGTCATGCGGACCTAAGTCAAAAACCATCCAAGCACCTTCTGCAGAAGAGTCTTAAAAACCAAGCGAGGCTGTCGGTGGGCCCCAGGCTTCCACCGTGTGCAGAAATCCACAGCCACGCCACCCGGCCAATCCTGCTCCTCAGGGCTGGTGCCCACGTGCCCCTCACGTGTGGGGTGGCGGCTTGAGGTGAGCAAAGCCACGGAACACCCATGGCCCATCCCCCAGCTGGGCCAATTTCACGTCCGACGTTGGGAAATAAACAGTAAACATGTCTGTGCTCCCTGCACCCACACGTGTGTGAGACCAAGTTACCAAACGACCCCATCACTGAGACAGAAAACACATGGGCTAGATTCTGAGTCTGCTCTATGGTGTCAGTTCTGGTCGAGTCTGCAGAAACTTCAGAATCCCAGAGCCAACAGGAGCATGTCCCCCGATAACCAGCAAGAGGGAAAATCTGCTTTTGACTTGCTCTGCTCCCCGCGTGGCAACTCAAGTATTATTTTTCTGTTGAAATTCCGTGCACTACGACACACAATAAAAGACATACGTAAGGTTTCACCATAAAACACAACCTTTAAACCTTTGAACTTGAAGTAGGTCCCTGTGGGCTACACAGGACGAAAGAATTCACTCCCCTCGGCCAGTCAGCTATTTCAGCAGATGCAGAACTCTGTGCTGGACAAGAAAGGTGGCCAGGCCCTGGCTGGGTTGCTCGGTGGTTAGAGTGGTCTCCAGGAAGGTGATAGACACCCAGGGACATGGAAGAAGGACCTGATGTGTCGTTTTGGGGGAGGGGGGCTCTCCTGGTTAGATGGTTTCCTGCACCTTAACTAGGAATGTCAAGAGCCAGCCAGCAAGGGCTGCAGGGACGACAGGCCACGGCAGCCGCAGAGTCGAGTGTGCGACGCAGATCAGACCTGCATCTGTCTCGGCCCAGAGCTGTGACAAGAGCTGCCCTGTGGCAGCAAAGGCAGCTGGTGTCGGTGAAGTGCTCGGATGTGAGAAGCAGGTGACCGTGCGCTCTCCAGGCATGTGCGAAACCTGAGCCGAACCATTTGTGAAACGCCCGCAGCTGCTTCGGAGGACAGGCTGGCAGCCGCAGGTACTATTCAAGTCCAACCCCGCCCTGCCTGAGCACACACCACGTGCGTGGACACGCACGCACACACATGTTCGCACACAGGCACACATGTGCGCGCATGCACACACACACAGGCATGCACACAGACACCCACACACGCCACATGCACGCACGTACGCACATGTGCTCACACATGCTCGAGTGCACACATGCACAGACACGCACACATGTGCGCACGCACACACACACGGCGCCAGAGTTCTAAGGACACCGTAAAGCCTGTTCACAGTGTCTGTCCACAGTGTCTCCATTTCCCTCTAAGGATGAAACGTCGAGGGGCAGCATTTGCCCGCACAGAGGCGGCGATTCGCTCTGCGCGGAAAGAAGCGGCAGGCGCCCTGCAAGCGGGAGGTCTGGGGCTCTGTTACGTCTGTCATTTGTGACCCTCACTGTCCAGGCCTCTGTGGAGTGTGACAGCTATGGGTGATCAGAGATTCCTGCTTCAGAGACTAGATCACTGTTGAGCCCATTTGCCTCAAGGTAATAGACTAGGTTAGTGTTGTCCAGGGCTCAGGGGCGGAGAGTTGGGGTGTGGTGTGTAAGGGGTACAGGGACGCGTGTGAGCAGAACCCTCCCTTACAAGACACGCAGCACCTGGGCGTCCCCGGCTCCCCCGAGGCTGGTACCTCTCACCCACCTTTGCTCTCCTCCTGCAGGTCTGGCCTCACAGGAAATGACCCCGCCCGTGACCTCTGCAGCGTCCTTCTCAGGAACCGAAGGTGAGGGTGCCAGGCCAGGCCCCGGGCTCTTGCTGGGACAATGTTAAGAAAGTGACAGATGGTGAGACGGGCACCTCTCTTCAGGCCCTAGCAAAAAGCCCGCATCCCACATAAAGCTTTCAGTGACTGCGACGCAAAAATTCCTGGGGGGGGGAATAGCCTCAGGCCGTCAATGGTCTGAGAGGCGTTGGGATCACTGAGGCCTCTCTGCAAGAACAAATCTAGGTTCCAAAGCAGAGGTACCTGGGCTCCAGAAAAGCATGATTGACCATAACCTCTGACCCCAGTGTGCGCCACCAGCCACCGGCTGCCAGCAGCTCATGCTTGTGAAACAGGTTAAGTCGGATGAGTGCAAGTTCAAGCAAAGGCCCAGGCACGTGGACCGGCGCCCGGGCCTCCGCCCAGTGCCCACATTTCCCAGCCTCAGCNGGGGCCTCCGCCCAGTGCCCACGTTTCCCAGCCTCAGCACATCCTGAGATTGGAGCAGGTAAACGTAAGCAACTGGACACGGAAAGCTTAGCTTCTTAATACCCCCCATCTATTCGATCACAGGAAGCGGGAGAGGACCACTCTGGGAGCTGACCCTGCCTCCCCAGGAACTCGTTCGGTTACGTACCTCTCTGCGTGGGCTGCCTCTGGGGCCAGCTTAGGGTCCCCAGCTTCTTCAGGTTCTGGAGGTGAAGATGCACCTGCCTTCCCATCTCCCACAGGAGTGGGAACCTCGGGCAGGGACTGCTGGTGCCCAGCTGGGCTGTCCCCACACAGGGCGGCTGGAGTCTCAGTCCCCCGGGCCCCCTCAGAGCAGCCGGGGTCCCCAAAGCCCCCTGGTGGTTCGGAGGCAGGAGCCACTCCTGAGAACATCCTCGCAGCTCCTGTTCCCAGCAGGTCACCAGGCCCACGTGCCTGGGTCTCAGCTGTGCTCAGACTGACGTCACCCTCATCTTCCCCAGCAACTCCTGCCACCAAGCCCGGCTCCGGGGGAGTGTCTGCCACTGCTGCTGGCTCACGGGCGCTCGGGTGGCTCAGGGCACTTTGTTTCTCTGAGATCCCCGCAGCACCTCCAGGCCTCCTCTCACCCGCTGTGCCGGGGGTCCAGGGCTCAGGGACGGCCTCGGCCACGGTAGGCGCATCCCCGCGGAGAGAAGGTGCCTCCAGGGCAGAGGTGGATGCTCCTGGGTGGGCAGAGCCCCGGGCACCTTCGGGCTGACTGTCACCGGTGGGCGCTTCCCCATGCGGCTCTCCGGGAGGAAGTCTCTCATCTTGAGCGGAGTCCCCTTCCCTGTGGCTCTGGGTGGCCACCTGCCCGTCAGCAGCTTTGCCCACAGGAGACGCGGCCTGTGAGGAAGGAGGGGAAGCTGACTCCTGCAGGCCGCTTCCCCGCCCTGAGGGGGCCTGGCTGCCAAGCCCCTGCCCGGCCTCTCTGGCCCCCGCTGGCTTCTCGCTTTCCTTCAGCGCCTGTAGGTCACCAGCCACTTCCTTCCCCTCACTGGCACTTGGTGGGTCCTGCTCCACCCTCGGCCCTGCTGGCCCCAGCAGCGTCTCCGGTCCTGGATCCCGGGGAACCGGGTGGGATGTCTCAGCCTCAACAGCCACCACCTGCTCCTTCTCTGAATCCACCCGGAGTCCAGCAGGAGGGGCGGGGACAGGGGCTACTCCCACTGCTTGAGTCCCATCTGGAAGCTTCTCTGGGCTCAGTGGCGCCTCGGGGTCCTTGCCCCCCCCACTCCTGCCGGCTCCTGCCTTTTCTCCAGGTGCTCGCTGGGGCCGGTCGGCGGCCAGGGCTCCGAGCGCCGACTTCTCGAAGATCTTGGTGATGTGCTCCCTGAAGTCGGGGAACCCGGCGACGATGCTTGACTGCTTGGGGCCCGTGTCCACACCGCCCGATGCGCCCTTCCGCGGGTCCTGGGGAGGCTCCACCGTCCTCTCCCCATTTCTGCCTGTGCCCCTCGCACCAGAAGGGGGTTCAGGACTCTCGAGGGGCTGCGGGCCGGCTCCAGGAGCCTTGGCTGCTCTCTTCTCCCCTGTAGTCTGCTTGCCGCTGGCCGGAAGCAGCGTCCTGTCCAGGTAGGGCACAGAGTCCACAGGCCCTTCAGAGGTCCTGGCTTTGGGGCTTCCGCTGCTGGTTGGCACCACAGAGGTGTCCCCCACCACGGCTCCTGGTTGCAAGAAGGAGGCGAGGGGGCCAGCAGCCAGCTTCCCAGAGGCGACATTTTCCAAGGAGAGTGGGGGCTCCCCTATGGGACCAGAGTTTTCACCGAGGCCCCTGGGCCCCTCTTCTGCCCCTCTCCTGGCAGCACTATCAATGTGCAGGTAAGGAGTGTCAGGAGCAGCCTCTCCCGGTGGCCCAGGTGGCAGGAGCCTCTCTGGGCCAGGGAGAGTCAGGGCTGCAGGAATGCCCACTGCGCTCCTGGGGATCCCACCCGGATCTCCCGCTGACAGCGAGGCATCCTGGCAGCCGGCCGAGGGCTGCTCAGCGTGGCCGGCCTCACCTGGGGCAGGGGCGGAAGCCTGCTTCCCAAGGGCGCGGCACTGCTCTGTCTGAAGGAAGCTACCACTCAGGGTACCTCCTGCCGGCTCCTCTGGAGCCCGATGCACCCCCAGGTCTCCTCTGTCAATGTCCCCACAGGTCTCAGCAGCCCCACCTTCCACACCTGGCTCCTGGGTGGATGGGAGACTTCCAAGGAGCTCCTGGGCCTCTGCGTCCGAGGCAGCCGGGTGCTCCATCTCCTGCAGGGCCGGCACTGGCTGCTGCTCGCCTTCCTGGGTGTCATCACAGGCCTCCCTCTCCTGGGCACCCTGAGTACCCTGAGTGAGGGTGAGGCTGGGGCTGGCAGGCGCTGGGGCAGGCAGGCCGTGAGCTGCATCCCGGAGAGCTCCTGAGTCAGATGGACAGGGCGGGGCCCCTGCTGTGTTCCCACCTGCCATCTCTGTCCTGCCCACGCCCGGGACCGGGGGCCAGGCGCCAGCTGCTTCAGACACACCTGTGTTCCTGAGACTTGCTGCTTCCCACTGGCTGCTGGCTGTCAGTGCACCAACCAGCTCCTGCTGGGACTCGCTCGGCCTCTGCCCAGCACAGCTGTCCTTTGTGCTCAGGCTGCCTGGGAGGGGAGAGTCTCCTGAGGTGTCTGCTGCAGGCAGCAGGACCCCAGAGGGCTGGCGCTCACTTGGTACTGGCTCTCGCCCACTCTCCCCAAGTGCGGGCGGCTCCGGCCGTGCGGTCACAGGGCTCTCCGCGATGGTGGCACCAGGAGCTGAACTTGGAGCATGGGGCAGGCTGCCTCTGGGAAGCTCACCTTGAGGTTCTGGTCTGGAAGTCTGCTCCCCGCCTCCGCGAGGGGACAAGCTCACCTCCTCCCGAGGCTCCCCGGGTACAAGGATTTGGGGAGACTCCACAACTGGGTTCCGAGGGCCTGGATCACCTGGCGAAGTCTTGCGCTCACTGTCACACGGCTGAGACTTCTCCACAAGCACATCAGAGACCGAAGCTTCTGGGTCCGGCTGGGATGGCTGGAGATGGTCCTCAGGAGACCCCAAGGGTCTCTCAGGGGCAGCTGCTTGTATTTGGTGCCCCGGACAGGACGGGTTTCCCTGCTGATCTGGTTCCTGGATGAGCGTCGTGAGCCCACAGTCCCCTGCCCAGCCCTCCCCATTGGGGGGATGTGGCCCCTCGGCTTGGACTTCCTGTCCAGCTGCATCATGCCCCAGCCCGGGGGGTTGGAAGGACGTCAGCGAGCCCTCCCCATCCTGGCTGCCAGGCTCCGGCGCCGACGGGGGGCTCCTGGTCTTTATTGCAGATGAGCTCTCCACCTCCGGGGCCTCCGGGACAACCTCGGCAGCAGAAGTCGACAGGAAGCCTGATTTCTCAGATTCTAAAGCAGGAAGAGAGTCCATTCTCCCCCGGCCCCCCATGTCCTGCAGGAGGTCAGGATGGTTGGGCTGCAACCCTGGCCCCTCCCGGGCAGCTCCTGGGGGAGCAGCATGCTCACTGGCTCCGTCCGGCTCGGGGGGCCTGGTGGGATCCTGGCGGGACCCGAGGTCTGAGGCCTGCTTCTCCTGTCCCGCCAACCCTGCACCTGCCAGTTGTTCGGCAGGAGCTGTAAGAAGGGGCATCTTGGGACTGGACACCAACTCCCTGGGCCCCCGGCTGGGTTCTTCTGTGGTCCGAGCAGCAAGGTTTGAAGCCAGATGTGGGTCCTGGGTACCCACGAGCTGAGCCCCCTTGGGCTGGTCACCTGTTGCCATGCAGACAGCCTTCCTGGGCTCAGCTCCTTGCACCTGAGTCTTCAGGGGGTGTTGAGCATTACTGGCATCCAGAGTCTCTGTCTGAGAACCCCCGGCCCCCAGGGCCTGGGCAGGACACGGCAGATCCTGGCAGCTTTCCTGGGGAGCAGCAATCACCTTAGCTTCTGGGGCAACCCCGGGATTGCTCCCAGAGGGATGACAGACGCCCGAGTCGGCGACCAAATCCTGAAGTGGCATTTCCGCTTGGCAGTTCCCTCTGTCTGAGGCTTGGGGGGCTGGCTCCTGTGGGCCCAGGGGCTCGGGCATCGGGGGGCTCTCCTGCAGGCCAGCCGAGCTCTCGCCTGATGGGGCTGCAGGGGGGCTCGTGGGGACCACCTGCACAGGAGCCTCGCCCTGCTTGGACCCTGGTGGAGGGAGGCCACCTGAAGCCTCTTTTCCCTGGGACTCGGAGCCACGGGGCCGGCCATCCTCTTCGCCCTGCTGTTCCTCTGTCAACTCTCTGGGAGGCACTGGTGAGACTCCTGGCAGCTGGTCCATGGATCTGAAGGAAGCTGACTCCCTCCCTCCTTCCTTTAGGCCTTTCTCTTTCCCAGCCCTGGGGACAGTGGCAGCCACACTGTGCTGAGCAGGTCTGTCCCCTGGAGGGGCCAACGCTGCCCTGGGGTCTTCCTGAGCATTCAGAGAAGGGTCCCTCCTGGGGCGCTGAGCGAGGGGCTGAATGAGGGGCCAGTCTTCAGGTGCCGCTGCTGGGCTTGTGGAGTAAGCTTCGGGGGGGCCCTCAGCAAAGGGCAGGGAGCCCAAGGGGCTCTCCGGCTCCCAGGACGCTGGCGGGCTGGGCAGTGCAGAACCTTTCGGGCCCCCGGCTTTACGTGTCTGCTTCCTCGGCTTGGTCACTTCTGGGGACGCCATGCATGGGTCCAGGCCGGTAGCACCCTCAGACGTGGTGCCAGAGCCTCCGGGCGCGACGCTGTCAACAAGGAAAACATTTCATGTTTCATCAGATCCCACGGATGCCAAGGGCAGACAGGTCACAGGCAGAGTCACCCCACTAAACCCCATGCAGCTCATTCCTCCCACCAAGAGACCTCCCCATCCCTCCCATGACCATTACACACGGCACCACTTTCCCCGAAAATCAACACGGGGAATTGCAGAGTCTGGTCCGTGCCGAGCCAGGGAGCATGGAAACTAACTCACGATAGCTCAAAATGAGGGAAGCTCAGTAAGTTTTAAAATAAGTTTGATATAATGGTAGAGGGTTCGAAGCAGTTCTGCCTGGTTTGCTAACACTGTAGGTTCCAAACGCTCCTGGGACCCTGAGATGTTTGGGAAAAGGCACAAGTGGGCCCAGCTGTGCTTCGGAATAAAGGTACGTTAACTTCATTCCTCTCATTCAGCAGGTGTTGCTGTGAGAGGCACCGTCCAAGGTCGATTCTGTTACAATAAATGGGCATTATCTCGGAGAGGAAGACTACTCCCTCTTCTTCAACACTGTTGAAACCGGAGGAGCGGAGAGCGGACTCGCACCCAGTTCAGCCCCTGACCTGCTTTTCTGCCCCTGTCCGGAGTCCTCGCCTCCCTCCCCTGGTGTTTACTTCCTGCCAGGGGAACAGTGAGTCAGAAGCCGGCCGGAGGCGGGAGCGGGACCCGGCTCCGCCGGACACACCGGCCTGGGCAGAGCCTGTGAATAGAAACTTTCCAGAGGTTTCTCTGGAAGGAACCGAT